TAACTTTGTTAATTAATAAAAAGTAGATAAAAAATTTAGAAAAAAAAAAAAAAAAAAAGAAGAAAACAGGGAAATAAGGCACACTTATGTGATATGAAGTCTAAAAAGGTTATAAATTCTCTCTTTCCACAACTTATGGCTTCTTCTGGTTATATTGTAGGATCTTATACCCTGGGTCATGCGTTCACTTTCTATATCTTCAAACCCCTTAATATTTTTTAGGGTTCCATTTGTATGATTTTTGTACAATATGTTGCCAACTTTTAGAATGCTTTGAATCGTTCCTTTCTTGGGTTTCTTAGCATTTTGAGTATGAAGTAATAGGAATAAGAATCAAACGGTCTTAAAGCCAATTTGGATTAAAGGGGGCACGGCGGTGTTGCGGTGGCTTGTGGGATCCGCGAAGGGCAATGCCCTAAAGTCACCAAGAAGCGCACACACCATGACGCTCTGCGTTGTGTCTTTTCCCATCATTCAAAAATTTCATTACAACTTTACTAAATTGCTTCTTTGGCGTTTTCTCTATGTAGTATTAATGTATAGCACCAACTATATCTGTTTGCAATACTTATATTACCTTATAATAATCAAGCATATTCTTTTATGTAATATGGAAAGTAATCTTAAAATAAATGTACGCATTTGGTTGTCTAATTCTATTCCATAAATGAGAAACCAACTAAATGAAGTATATATAAATATATACTTCTCTATTATTTAATTTTGTGTCAAGAGTTTACATTTTCTTATGTAATGTAGAATATTAGAATAGTATTATGATGGTAGGATTTCGCGTCACTAATATTTTCTCTGGATGTTTTTATGTAGGGATTAATTTTTAATTTATTTTTTTCTTTGTCTAAGTCTCGTTATTGATGTTTTTTTATACTTTAACTTACAATTGGTATGCTGATCTGGGTTTTTTGCTAAAATTGCGACTATTTGCCTGAAATGAAAAAAGGACTAGTTAAAAAGTAATAGTTTATTGGTGTTGGGGCTCTTTTTATTATATTATCGATTTGTTTTGAAAACTCCTCAATCAGAATTTAAGCGAATTAGGGAGTATACTCTTATAAGTGCTAACGACTATTTTTGTAGAACTTTAAATCGTTGTATGGTTGGATGAAAATCAATATAGTCAATTATATTATTAAAGTAGTTTATCTTGTTAAATTTAATTTTAGGTCTCTCTTTTGTAGCTATTTATAAACAGAGTGGCCTTTATTCTCTAGGCCTGCACATTGGATTCATGCGCGTCTAAGCTAGTAGAGTCAATAGTATCAAAGGTTAGGCAAAGTGAAAGAATCGGTACAGGTGCAACAGTATACTCAATATTTCTAAACCAATTATCCAAACATAGTTAAGATGTATATCTGTCACACATGCTTACATTTGGACCTTATACCTGGACTACATATGTTATGTCTTAGTTTGATAATCGCTATAGACAAAGGTAGGATCAGACGTCATAATATTATTTTTGTTGTTGGTGATCTGTTAGATTTCCAAAGATATATTACGTTGGAAGAACAAGTTATATCAATTGGGTCAGTTGGCATATATCTTAATAGTATATTAAAGTTAAATGTAGCCTATATTAATTATTTTGTACATTAAACTCAGCACTAGTAAGTTATGCGAATGGCATCAAAAATAACTTAAGATTATAAAGAGATTAACAATTATAATTAAACAGGATACTCATGCTCAAACACAATACAGTTGGAGACAAGATCAGCGATTACCTATATTGACCGCGATAATATAGAAACTCACCTGTGAATCACCTTCCCTTAGCGTAGCGAGGACGATTATAAATAGAAATTAGTTTATTTGCACTTTTTAGCCGCTATGAAAGGTGGAAATCCGTGGTTTAGGAAGAAATTATAGGAGGACCCCGATTTACAGAGTACCAGAGTAATTGGGGTTTGTGTTTTAATCAAGGCTACGACCTCCTTCCTTCAGGATGCACTTTAGCCACAAATAAGCGGTGCTAACAATAAGGCAAGATAGTGACTCGCGCAGGAATAGTCTGGCGCGCCAGTTGACCATTGGCTGAACTAATTAAAAAATTACGCAAAGTTGCGGATTAGTTAGTCAGTAATTGGCTAAAATATTTTTCATTGTGATTGCATTAACAAATCCGAAATACAGAAAATGCAAAAATGTCAATTGTTTGAAGTCTATTATTTTGTCAAAAGAGAATACTGAAAGCCAACAAAAGTAACAATATAAATATATAAACTAAAAAACTATCCACCAACTTTAAGCAGCATTGCGCGAAAACCTTCATTTATGTGGTGCGAATTTGGCATATATACCACCGGCAGAAAGTATCTGAACGGGATTGGCACTAGTTACTGAGACAATTCAAACTTGTTGTATTTGTTGAACGAGGTGGGCACAAATATCTTATGCCTTTTATATTAAAGTGGATACAGGGTCTTTAAGCTATAAACGGATCAGACATAGATATGACAGATCTTCTCACCTGAGTTTGTGATCACCCTGCGGTGATTGGTTAGCATCAAGGTCAAGGGAAAACTGTAGAAGTAGTGGACATGCCTACGGTGACGTTTTGCAAGAAAGATATTCGTAATAAATGTAATTCGCACATGCCAATAACATTCAATAATGGAACCATATATACAAAGGCTTTTTCGGCAGCCAAAACACCAAAAGATAGTAGAGGAGATACCGGTTTTGTAGCTTAAAAGTGTGTGTAAAAAAAAAAAAAAAAAAAAACTCACCTAGCCATTGCGAAATCATTTATTGGGGATTGCATATATACCACCATGACGCCTAGTTCGAAATTCAACTTGTTTTGTGAATGATACCTTAATTAGTGTGGCTTACTTCAGAAAGCACTCACTATGTGTCTGCCGGTGATTGTTGCTAACAGTAGTGACATGCTTGCGTTTGCAGTATTGTAAACCACCTATATAGGAACAAATAGCCTACCACAAAATAGACCGTTTAGCTAGTGTTGTGATGTTGTGACCAACACCACTTGTTTTGTTATTTTTATTTTTTATAATTAGGAGATTTAATCCTCTCGAGCCATAAGGCGTAAAGGGTGGCCCTCCCAGCAAAGTACATTTTCGGAAATCGAACTTGTATTCTCATCCTTACGGAAATTGAAGTCGCTAACCATATTAACCAAAATTTTATTAATAATACCATTTGCTTTTTAAAAATTCAAGATTAAAATGACATTTGCATTTTAAGAATTCCTATCAACAAGTAATTTGACCTTTAGGTTCCAATTGTTGTTTTTGTTTAAGCACCATTTTATTTATTGTTGAAAAAAAAATATTTTAAATGTTTTTAATTAGTTATTTTGCAATCTTTATTGTTGAAACATATGAAATTCACCTTTAAATTAAAATTTTTTAACGATTTTACATTTGGTTACCAGAATTTGACATTTTCATGGAAAAGTCATTTTCTTAGAATAGTCTGAAACGGTGATTTTATGAATGTTGAATTATCATAATAAAAATTTTTCAGAAAAATAAGATAATTGTATTTAGTCATAAAATATAATATTGTTAGAAATTAATTAGTTAATATAATTTACTAATGGTTTGTTCTCTTAAGATAGAATATAATTTTGGCTATCATAAATAATGCTTTGTAAAAGATTGTATTTAACTAAACATTTTATTTATGGTAATAGAAAATTATATTATATTATTTTTTTAGGAATGCAATCTTCCAAAATTTTGAAATAATAAACAATGAGAAAGTAGGAATGAATTCCACTTATTAAGAAATTAAAATTTTCTAAAATATAAAATTTATATACAAGCATAAAAATTAATATCTATTTTCCTAAATTATTTTTTTTTGTAATTCACAAGGTCGAGTATTCAACCCTTTTATATAAATGGAGAAAATTTCCACTAGAAACACTTTTTCCTTATAGGTCCAATGCAAAGCGAACATAATTAAATATAATTCAATAGACTAGAGAAATCTGTGGTATAAATAAATAATAATATTAATGTGGCGAACTGATAATTGACCATGGTTAAATTTAAAATTAAGAAAAAAGATCTCAGGTTTAAATTATTGAGCGGTAGTGAATGATATTATATATTATATAAAGATATTATATATTATATAAATAAATATATATATATATATAATGATATATATATATATATATAATAGTTAATTATTTTTGATATTTATTAATTTTTATATTTTTTATTATATTTTAAAAATATTATATTATAAAACTAGGATAACCCGCTTCGGGTCTGGTTGAACTTTCTTTTATATTTTTTATTATATTTTAAAATATTATATATAAAACTAGGGATAACCCGCTTCGGGTCTGGTTGAACTTTCTGATTTACTGAATTTTACCTTCACCGGTTCAACGTGTTGGGTCTGATTGAACTTTCTTATTTACTGAATTCCTTCGACGGTTCAATACGCTTGTGCATGTGTACATATATATATCCAAAATGAGAAAAGCCAGGGTGGTTTTGTAATTCGACAATAATGCTCTATCGTCTGCAAAAGCAACATATATATTATATGAAAAGACTTTCACAGAGAACACCATGAACAACAACCAACAGTTGCAGAAGAGGAAGTAACAATATAAACTACTTTATACATAATAAAAGATAATTAAATAAATACATAAATAATCTCAAACTAAATAACTAAATACATAATTTGAAAAAAAGAAAAGGGAAAAGAGTAAAGAAAAAAGGAAAACGAGTCTAATGTCATAAATGGCAGCAGGTGCAACCTGCAGAGCAGTTTCACCTCGCCGCATCAAGAATGCCTTATCTATCTTAATCTGGATAGTTCATACACGTGCCTTTCACGTGCCACCTTTCTCCTCCTCCCCCCTCCTCCTCCTGTTGAGATCTCTGTACTTTGTGATACCAGAGAACCAGAGTCTCAAAATCTTAAAACAAATAAATATATACTGCATAAAAATAAATAAATAAATAAAGGACTTATTAACAAATAATTAATTATATAAGAAGAAGAAGCAACTAATGATTCTTCATTAAATCTCAAGTAAATTTACATTTCCCGAACTTAAAACCCAAAAAGAAAAAAATAAATCTAACATGCAAGCTCATATGAAGAGCTTGCTAAAAAGATCTCAAATCCAAAACAAAACCTAAAAAAAGGACCAAAAATACTAAATAATTAATGTGTTTCATTTTGATTTTCAGATTCATGAGTTGCTCTGTTCTCCATAGTTGAAATACTCTGTTCTTGATTAGCAGTCCCCTGTTTTACCATCTCAAAACAACCATTCTGTGTTTTTTCATTTTTTTCACTACAAGAACAGCTTTTAGTACTGTTGTCACCAAAAGAAGATGATCTACTAGACATTGGTGTAGCCAAGAAAGTTGGCTTCAGTTGACCAGCCATAATTACTAATATTTTCTCTTCAAAAGCAGTATTACTCTGTTTTTCACTTTCGCCATTTTTACTACTAGTGTTTTGTCCTTGTCCTGCTTCCAAGTCTCTTTCTCCTTCTTCAACGCCGTTTTCAAGATACCCAGAAAGTTTCCAGTAAGAACAAGCAAGAATTAACAGAGCAAAAGCTATTAATCCAAGCATGGCAGCCAATCCACCGAACAAGTAAGGAACAGGGGAATGCCACGGCGAGCGTTGTCCCACCATCGCCGTTGGTGCTCTTGCTGTGGCGTCCAACGCATCTCTCGCTGCTGCCATTTCTTTACAGTTAAAGCCTTTTTTTTTTTTTTAGTATTATCAATTTAGTTTTAGACAGAGAAGGAGAGAGATTTGCAAAAGAAGAAATGGTGAGTTTTGAGAGGTGAAAGAGGAAGAAGAGAAGAAGGTATTTATAGAGGAAGTGGGGTCTGAATTTTTGGTGATTTATGTCGTCATTTGCATGAGAAGTGGGGCCTATTTCAAGACCGGTGGGTCCCTTCTCTTTTTCGTATTTTTCTTTGAGTTATTATAATATTATATACTGTGTATTTATTTATTTATTATTATTATTATTGTTATTATGAATAGTAAAACGCACTTTGGAGAAACATAAGCCGAAATGGTTAGTACAACATAAAGGTGTGTATACGTATGCATAATAATAATAATAATGGTTATTAAATATATCTGAATTTAGCATACCATCTTATTCTTTACCACGTATTTCAAAATTAAAATAGTTTCATATTAAAAAAAAAATACTTATAGTAACATTAAAGTAGTAATAATAATATTATTATTATTATTGAAACCTATTCGAAGATTAATTATTAAAAAATAATATATCATTATTTGTTGTCCTTATTAAAATTGTTGTGAACTAATCTAATAATTTTTAATATTAATGATTTTCTGATTGGTTACGCATTGTATTTTAAGTATTTTTTTATTCATTATTAAGAATATTTTTAAATAAATTTGTTAATGAAACTAAATTTTCTCTTGAAGTGATTTTAAAAGTGGATTTTTCTACAATAATTTAATATATTCAAAAATATTATTTTTAAAGTTTTTCCTAACAAAATAGAACTATATCATTAATAAGGAAACAACAATTACATTCTGATCAACTAGATTAAAATGATCATTAGTAAATTTGTGATTAACAAATCTTAAATAAGTGGATGAATTAATTATTTGGTTGATGTGCGAGTGATATATACAAATATTATTTTCCTAAATAAGCAATAAAAACAAAATTAAAAAGTGATGGGATGATAAAGAAAAGCCTTCTTTAGCTTCATAATTTGCCTTGTGATGTCATCCAAAATTGCCTTTCATGATTTTATGATATTCTTATATTTCCATTTGCACTCATAACACTTAAGTTGATGTAGGTCCCACACAACTTGCTAGATTTGATAAAATAAAATAAAATCCTCTTTTTATTAAATGAAATTAATTTTATTTAAATTGATTTAATTCATTTGATGATTAGTAATATTAGTATAAAATCAAGTAATTTGGAGTTTGATATATACATTCTTATTTAGGTCATTGATCTTTTAATTTTTAAATGAGTATGAAAAGAAATACACTTACTTTAACGGGTTGATAATGACTCCATTGAATTATTATCCAAATACCCATAATAGCAAAAAAAAAAAAAAAAAAAAAAAATTAATACACAAAAAAAAAAAAAAAAAAAAAAACATGTCATATCACATCCAACATAATATATTTTCTTTCTATATGACATCACATTTAAACTTTTAACAAGAATATCTCTAAATTCTTTATTTTGAATTATAAAACTCGACTCCAAATAACTTAATTGACTGGTCATTTAATTTTTAACATGAACTATTTATTCTTTACTTTAGTCTTCTCTAAAATGCAAAAAAAAAAAAAAAAAAAAAAAAATGTCATATCACATAACAATATATTTTCTTTTATATGAATCATTTAATTTTAACAAGAATAATTTATTTTTATTTTGAATTATTAAAATGACTCAATAATTAATTGATCTGGATCATTTAATTTTAACATGACTAATTTATCTTTATTTTTAGTTTCTAAAATGACTTAATAATTAATTTGTCTGAGTCCTTCCTTAATGATAATGATTTCAATGAGTTCGATCGATCTGAATAACTTTTTAGCAGAAATGTTGAATAGAGAATTAATCGAATTAAACTAATGAATTTAACAAAATTAAATTGGCCCAGTTAATTTTTCTAGAAACCAATATGAAATAAATGAAATGGAAATTAAATTTAATTAGCTGAATTTAATGGAAGATTCACGGTAACTAAATTTAATTGAATTTAACCGAAGCTTTAAGTAGATAATGGCTACAAAATAATACAAATAATTTTAGTTTGTCTATTAGCTATAACGATATCGTTTTTGGACTTCAAATAATTCAGCTAACGTGGGTAAATTGTCTTTTTCTCAAATCTTTAATAGATCATGAATGCTTTTATTTTATTTTCTGAGCCGAAAATCGAAATTCGAATACCCGACTTAATCATATTTGTCAAAGTGTATGCTAATTCTAATTCATCTTAGTTAGATTTTAAAAATATTGCTTTCTTCGTTATAAATGAAATATTTAAACATTAAATTAGTATGATAATAACATATCCAAAAGGAAGTTGAACTTCCTTGTTCCATTGGTAACGATTTAATGATTTTGAAATGCATAAAAGCAACTCTTACCTATACGGTTGCCATAAGCAGGCGGATACCTAGAAACGGTTTCGACAAAAAGCACGAAGAAAGGCAACTGTTGGCTCATAATACTAAGAAACGGTTACTTAAAAAACAATAAAAAACGAAACCGTTTCTTTTTTTATTTCCCCCTTAATTTCACGATGCACAAGGTTTTGGCTTTGCTTTGAAGATGGTATTTTTAACCAAAGTAATTATCTCTTATATATATGGAAATTACTTATTAAATGCAGAATATATATTAATTTCTCATACACACAGTCAACAATTAAATTATTATTATTTTTTTGATAGAAAAGTTAATTTATTATTTTAAAAAAGTAGCACCGGTCTAATTTAAACAATATTAGCTGTTAGTAGTTATTAGTTGTTGTAGTAGCTCTTAGCTGATAGTTATTTTTATAGCGGTTTAAATTAAAGATATTCAGTAACAATAATTGTTTAACTTAAAACAATAAAAAAGAACATTAGTTGTTTAATTAAAAGAAAGATAATGTGTTTAAATGTCAAAAAACATTAATTAATCTCTATAAAACGCTAAACACTAGGGCGTTTAACTTTTGATAAAAATGTCTCTCAATCTCTAAAAGCTATTATTAATATTATATTAACAAATAGTATAATTAATAGAAATAGAATTTTGACGTAATCAAAACACTAAAAGCTACTGTCCGAATATGGGTTTAGAAATTTGGAAACAAATAAATGAAACACTTAATAAAAACCTGTTTTTGAGTCAAATTTTCGGATCACGTTAATCTATTTGAAATAAAATAAAAATAAAAATTTCAACCAATAAAGTTTATTTGAAAAATATTAAAATTGTCTTTAACAACAAAAAATTTTGAGTTCAAACTTAATAAATAAAATTTAAATTAAAAATATTATTAGAGAATCATATAGTATTTTTTTTTAAATTAAGATATAAATTTACATTTGCAAAGGTAATTAAATTTATTCCATTGATTTTATGTGCTATTATCATGTTGGGACAAAATTGTCAATCTTTTGCCTTTTATTGATTGCTTTACTTTAAAATTTATGCACTTAATAATTAATAAGTAGGTGGTCTAAAGTAAACTCCTATTCTTATGTCTATTTCTTCCTTTTATCATTATTTAAGCCTTTAAGCAAGTTAAGTGGATGCATCATCAATTTTTTTTCTCCTCATTTCTATCTTGTTATGACAATTATAGCTCTAAAGTAACTCATATTATTGGAAAGAGAGAGACCATTTTGTCAACATCTTTTTTAGTTTTCTTTCTCAATTTATTTTTTTTTGTATGAATTTCTCCAAGTATATCCAAATTTTTAAAATAAATTATGATAAAAAAAATATTTCAAGTGAATTTTCAATTGTATAATATATATATAGATATGCATATTTTGTAATTTAAAAAATCCATTCAAAAATTCTTTTTTAGAACATTCTTTTTTTTTAGGTATATAGCAAGAAAATGATATGAATGGATTCATTCCTTTCTTCTAGCATTTTAGTTTGATGAATTGATTAATTTGGATAAAGAAAATGATATTTATCTATAAAAAGAATGAAGTGTCAATTTCTCAATAACCATCAATTTCTTTTTATTTCTTTCTTATTTATTTATTTATTTTTTGTGATGTATAACTATCAAACAATTTGATTAGCTTAAGGTCCACTACATATGCATAATGCAAGAAGCGTTGTACTAGAACACTCAAAAAGAGACATATAATTATAATCATCATCACATAGAGATTAATGCATTCCATCTCCCCAAAAAAAATGTAAATCACAAGTGTTTATTAAATGTCTTAATCTTATGAAATGTTTGTACAACTAATGTTCATGTTACAAGGTACGTGAACATTGACAATACAACTATTCATCATTCAACTCTAATAGTCCATTCACATTTCCATTTCCATTTTAAAGTTTAACCATTAATTTTGCATGTCTCAATTTTATTTCTATTCAAAATTTTTAAAAATTATGGAATTTTGTTAAATACAAAATGGTCTTTTTATTGTAATTAATAATTCTTTAAGAATGTTCATTCATTAAAATGAGAATATTTAGTAAAATCTCATAATAACTTAGAGATTGTCTTGAATTTTTTTTTTCTGATTTTCTAGACAAAGTCTAATCCATTAATTTAATGTAAGATTTTTTTTTTTTTTTTTTTTTTGTTGTAATTACATAACTTCTTTTAAGAACTGTTCATCTCATTAAACATGAGAGCAATCATGTAGTAAAATCTCATGAATAACTCTAGACGATTGTCTTGAATTTTTTTTTTCTTGATTTTCTAAAGACAAAGTCTCTAATCCCATTAATTCTTAATGTAAGATTCTTTTTTTTTTTTTTTTCTATAGTTTCATATACATATTCTTCCACATTGATACGTACGGAAATTCTACAATCCATTAAATCGAAAGACCTAAACTTAATCAATTACTAAAACTACTAACCTAACAGAATCAAAGGAAACAAGTGTGCCGGTGCGAGATGGTATTATACTAAATTTGTCTTACCTTTTAATTGCGGAAAATTGACCTTCAAGCATTTTTTTTTTTTTTTTTTTTTTTTATAGTTTCATATACATATTTTCACATTGATAGTCGGAATTCTACAATCCATTAAAATGAAGATAAATACTCAATT